GAAGAGACAACACTTCCAGTGGCTGGGTCCTCTCTCTAGGTTGCAGAGGCAAGAGAACTCATGGAGGCTACGATAAGACTGGTACATAAAGCCGGGTACACACAGGTCAAATATCAGTTGGCTTAACTGAAACCGGCTGACAGTCGGCCCATATGTACATCAGCCTGTCTGAAGCCAGGTGAACATCCAGTTTCTGTAGAATGGGCATGTTAGAAAAATATCTGCTGACTGGCATCTGATCAGCGCTCACATCCAATGCGAGTGCTGACCGGGGTGTTATGGTGGGGGAGAAGCCCCCTGTCAGTACACAATAGCTCAGTGGGAAGATGGCTGTACTAAAATCACATGATTAGTACAGGAAGCTCCTTCCGAGCTCTCCTAGTTTTTTTTTGTAGGTCAGCCTCAGTGGACTGAGAAAAAAAAAACCTCATAGTGTGTACCAGGCATTAGAAGATAACAAGAGGGGGGAAATGCCTGGTCCCCAGGGCAGGAAATTAGCTTGGTTCATAGAGGAAACTGTGACTTTGATCCATTACTGCAGGAGGGCTTAATCCAGCTACACCGCGGTCACCTAGTTCTGGAAGGGCGTCCATGGACATCCTCCCGGAACCGCGCCCCCTGGGGTGTGCACCGGGTGCTATCTCTGATCACTGTGTCCTATGGACACAGATGATCATGGATCCAGGTAAAGGGCCAATCAGAGCAGCCTTTTACCATGTGATCAGCTGTGTCCAATCACAGTTTATCATAGTGTAACTAGGAAATGCCGGTTATTGGCAGTCCTCTCCTCGCACTGACAGCGCATGAGGAGAGGGAGCCTGTGAGCTGCATAGAGGGGACATCTACACTGATCACCAGGGCACTAATCATCAGTGCCCTGATTATCAGTGTAACCCCATCAGTGCAGCTAATGCCCATTAGTGCTGGCTATTAGTGCCCATCAGTGATGGATATCAGTACCCATCAGTCCTGGTTCTCAGTGCCGGCTATCAGTGCTTGCTGTCAGTGACCATCAGTGATGCCAGTCAGTGCTGTCTATCCATGCCCATCAGTGCCGCATATCCGTACCCATCAGTGCAGCCTATCAGTACAGTGTCATCAGCGCACATCAGTGATGCCAGTCAGTGCTGTCTATCCATGCCCATTAGTGCTGCATATCCATGCCCATCAGTGCAGCCTATCAGCACAGTGTCATCAGCGCACATCAGTGAAGGAGAAAAATCACTTATTTACAAAACATTATAACAGAAACTAACAGACTTTTTTTTTCAAATTTGTGGGTCTTTTTTTGATTAGCAAAAAAATTAAAAAACCCCAGCGGTGATTAAATACTACCAAAAGAAAGCTCTATTTGCTTAAACAAAATGATGAAAATGTAGTGTGGGTAAAATGTTGCATGACCGCACAATTGGCATTCAAAGTGCAACAGCGCTGAAAGCTGAAATTTGGCCTGGGCAGGAAGGGGGTAAAAGTGCCCGGTGGGCAAGTGGTTAAGAAAAGGTGTTGGAATCAAGACTGAGGAGAAAGGTAACTAATGCACAAAGCACTATTTAAATTTCATTTTTGCCTGGAGTTGGGCTTTAAGAGTATAGTGATATCCTGGATATTAGTCTCAGGAGTTTGGAAGGGAGAAGCAGAATACTAAAATAATCGAACCTCAAAAAACATGAGAAGGAAAGAGGTACAGGAATAAAGGAATGCTGCTTAGGCAGGAAAATGTCAAACCCTACCACTTGTATGTTACATAGTTAGTCTGGCTGAAAAAAGACAAATGTCTATCCAGTTCAATCATTAAAAAAAAAAAAAAAAAAAAAGTTATAATCCTACACCCACAGTTAATCCAGAGGAAGGCAAAAAAAAAAACAGCAAAGCATGTTCCAATTTGCTCCTGCAAGGAAAACAAATCCTTCCTGATCCCCCGAGAGGCAATCAGATATTCCCTGGATCAACGTTACCTATAAATGTTATATCCAGTTCTATTCTGGGTATCTAAGAAAGAATCCAGGACTTTTTTTAAAGCAATCCACTGAGCTGACCAGAACCAACTCTTGAGGGAGTCTATTCCACATTTTCACAGCTCTCACTGTGAAGAAACCCTTACATAATTGGAGATGAAAGTTCTTTTCCTCCAGACGTAAAGAGTGCCCCCTTGTCCTCTGTGATGACCTCAGGGTGAATAGCTCTACATCGAGTTCACTATATGAACCACTGATGTATTTATACATGTTGATCATATCCCCCCTTATGTATTATACATGGAGATCATATCCCCCCTTATGTATTATACATGTTGATCATATCCCCCCTTATGTATTATACATGGAGATCATATCCCCCCTTATGTATTATACATGTTGATCATATCCCCCCTTATGTATTATACATGGAGATCATATCCCCCTTATGTATTATACATGGTGATCATATGCCCCTTATGTATTATACATGGAGATCATATCCCCCCTTATGTATTATACATGGAGATCATATCCCCCCTTATGTATTATACATGGAGATCATATCCTCCTTATGTATTATACATGGTGATCATATCCCCCCTTATGTATTATACATGGAGATCATATCCCCCCTTATGTATTATACATGGAGATCATATCCCCCTTATGTATTATACATGGTGATCATATCCCCCCTTATGTATTATACATGGAGATCATATCCCCCCTTATGTATTATACATGTTGATCATATCCCCCCTTATGTATTATACATGGTGATCATATGCCCCTTATGTATTATACATGGAGATCATATCCCCCCTTATGTATTATACATGGAGATCATATCCCCCCTTATGTATTATACATGGAGATCATATCCTCCTTATGTATTATACATGGTGATCATATGCCCCTTATGTATTATACATGGTGATCATATCCCCCTTATGTATTATACATGGAGATCATATCCCCCCTTATGTATTATACATGGAGATCATATCCCCCTTATGTATTATACATGGTGATCATATCCCCCCTTATGTATTATACATGTTGATCATATCCCCCCTTATGTATTATACATGGAGATCATATCCCCCCCTTATGTATTATACATGGAGATCATATCCCCCCTTATATATTATACATGGAGATCATATCCCCCCTTATGTATTATACATGGAGATCATATCCCCCCTTATGTATTATACATGGAGATCATATCCCCCCTTATGTATTATACATGTTGATCATATTCCCCCTTTTGTATTATACATGGAGATCATATCCCCCTTATGTATTATACATGGTGATCATATCCCCCCCTTATGTATTATACATGATGATCATATCCCCCCTTATGTATTATACATGGTGATCATATCCCCCCTTATGTATTATACATGATGATCATATCCCCCCTTATGTATTATACATGGAGATCATATCCCCCCTTATGTATTATACATGGTGATCATATCCCCCCTTATGTATTATACATGGAGATCATATCCCCCCTTATGTATTATACATGGAGATCATATCCCCCCTTATGTATTATACATGGTGATCATATCCCCCCTTATGTATTATACATGGAGATCATATCCCCCCTTATGTATTATACATGGAGATCATATCCCCCCTTATGTATTATACATGGAGATCATATCCCCCCTTATGTATTATACATGTTGATCATATTCCCCCTTAATCTCATCTTCTCAAGAGAGAATAAATTCAGTTCCTCTAATCTTTCCTCATAGCTGAGCTCCTCCATGCCTCTTATCAGTTTGGTTGCCCTTCTCTGTACATTCTCCAGTTCTTTTTGTGAATATGTTGGGTTTCCAGTTCTAGACACATGGTAGAACTGCAGTAGAAGACAAACACGGGAACACATTTTTTTTTTCCATAATACCAACAAAATTATAGGCGATAGTTGTACAGGGGTATAGCAAAAAAAGGAAATTAATACTTTTTGCAAAGATTATTATTTTCTACCCTTGTTTGAAATGTCAATTCAGCCAGAAAAAGGGAGATACAGAGTACTTTTAAAAGACTCTGCTGCTAATTGAAATAGAAAAAGTTCCCTGTAAAGAAAATAGTTAATACTTTCTTGACACTCCACCCGTGTCGCCGATCTTTGCTTTTTTGAAGAGCCGTGTGTGGCTGAATGTTTATTATTTTCTCTGCATAGGAGGGAAACCTACTAAATGCCTTTAAGTGGATGTGTGTAGTGGTGGTTTTACTTTTTATATTTTTAAATGCTTTTAAAGGGTTACACCACTACGAGAAGAGAGACTCAGGAAGCTTCTGTATAAATATAATTTACTTTCATATTGTGAATTTTGTAGTTTAAATGTACTGAATAAACCATAGACTCATAAGAGGCATATGGGCAATTTCTGCCAAGCAAAGGAAACAAGGCAATTGAACACAGAATTACTTGGGATAGAACTTTAAATTTGGATCCTTTAAATCTGCCTGGAGTTCTTTTTACTCTTTTATATACATTTATTTTTTTTTAAATATGCATTTTATAGCAAGTAGTATAAGTATTTAAATCTGTTCTAAAATGGAACTTAAAGTGTTACTAAACCCACAACAGTAAAATCAGTCTGTATATGTAGTAAAGCATGCTTGTTATACACACTGTGAAACTTAAGGAGTTAATCCTCTGCATTGTGTAAAAATACAGTTTGATCCTGTCTTCTCTGATCATCCCCTTCCAGTGCCCCCTCTTATCTCCTGATAAGATATATCGTGTGGAGGCACATGCTCAGTTTGATGTGTATTGCTAGAGAGGCTTTTTCTCTTGGGAGAGTACATGTGATCAGCACAGGGCCAATCCACACTGCCCAGACAGAGGTCAGGAGTCCTGCATCCTCCTAGAGAAAACTCCTCCTACAAGCTTTAACCAGTGCTCTGCTGAACACTGATAGAAGTCACAAGACTGCTCTAACTGCTGATGAGAAAAGGTATATGGCAGTTTATATTTACTAAAATGATTGCATTTCCATTTTGTGTGTACTGTGGGAGACCAGATATAGTGAATGCAGGGTCCTGGGTTTAATTCTGACACTTTAAGTCAGAAAATACATCCTGCCAGATCATTTCATGCTGGCCCCTATTGCAGCTGTGTAAAACAATACAAAATAAGTGCCTATACTGTTTAAAATCCAGTAATACACTGTTTCAACCTGCTCTGCACATGTTCAGTTGCTCTCTATTTTTTGTATCTGTGTCGAAAATCTAGAGGCCGCTCTGCTAATAGCCTAAAGATTTACTGCTGCTCAGGGGCTCTGGGCTTCAGCAGAATGGAAGCCTCGGCATGAAGAAAAAGGAACAATGCTGGAGGCAATTGACAGCACACACTAATTTTGGTAGCATAATTATTCATGTCGAATTTAAGTTCCTTGCTAAAGAACATTAGTTGTTCCTGGATAAATTAAGTTATGGATAAAGTTCCACTTTAATATTAACATCCTATAATACCCTACACAGCAGCTTGGGACAGGATGGGCCAGCAATGAAAGTCAGACAATTCTCCCATTCTAACACCAGGAGCTTGCCAGCAGGAGAAGAGGACAGTATGAGTGGATTGATGACCTCAGTGGTGTGGCAACTTAATTGCCCAATCAGCATCCCTGGAATGGGTTTGTTATCACTGTTGTGCAAAAAATAAGGTTGTTGGCTTGGTTCTGCTATCTAGCAGACGTGGATAAATCATAAGCGTGCCTTATGACAGGTAAGACTGCTTACAAATATGTATTTCATCTGTGTGTTTTGTGGTTTGCCAGGAATTCAGCTTTCAACCATCAGTTCGCCCCCCCCCCCCCCCCTCCCGTTGAGGTAATGGAAAACAGCAAACTTAAATCACTCTACCTTCCCCTGAAAAGCAATTAGTTGAGTTATCGCTTAGGTGAATATGTTGAAGCAAAGCCTCTGTCAACATAGGGCTTCACCTACACATTTGTTAGAAATCAGTAAAGGAGCTACAGCTTAGAATTGGGCAGGTTGTAAGATGTTATATATACGAAAACATTTGTAAAACAACTAATGGTATGGTCAACCCAAATGGGTTATTTCTGTTATGGAGACTGATGGACTAAATCACCAGTAGCTTCCTATACTATCCAGACTCTAGCCAAACCATTTTTTTGTTGGAGTGGGAAAGGGTTAGAACATTTGTTAGTGATACATACTGTACATAAAACCCCAACAGTGGTCCTACACATTCTTCACTCAATTGCTGCCCATGTCTCCATTTGAGGAGATTTTCCTTCACTTCCCATTCAATCTGACCCCAGACAAGAAAAAATTAGAAAAATGTCCCAGTATGGTCACAGACAGTCATAACAAGTTCTATCCCTGCCCCGCTTTGCCCTGAATTGGGAAAGAAAGGGTTTTGGAAAGTTTTGGGCTTTTATAGCTCCTGCGAGAATTTCTTCTTGGCTCTATCCCCCACCTAAGGACCTGTGTGGATGGACATTGGGTTTGTCTTGATAAGCAATTGCTTTCAAATACATTCATCTTGCATTTAAAATCAGTTTGAGAAACATGAAATAATTCACAGTTTGTCAGGTGCAATTGACCTGCATTTGCCCTACTTCTGACCAGCAGTTGACCTCCTTTTTATTCCAATGTGCTTCGTATTGCTATCAACTTGTATGAAGAGAGAAGCCGTTCTAATGTGAACAAAAGCACATCTAGACAGGCCCTTAGCCTTTACTAGGCAAGCAAGGGCATTTCATTCCTTCTGCTCCATTTTATGTAATGTAATATAGATGAAGGTTTGATGAAATCAGGTCTTAGATATTAAGAGTCAAGGAAAATGAAACTAAGTGTAAGAGTTAAAATTAAGATTTAAAGTTTCGTAAGATTAAAGACTAGACTGTTCCAGTTCACCAAAAAAAGATATTTTAGCTTCGATAGATGTTAGCCCATAAAATCACTCATTACCATCTGAAGTGTTATAGCAGGTTTGTCCAACCCGCAGTCCACAGGCCACATACGGCCCAATATGGCCATGAATGTGGCCCAACACAAAATCGTAAACTTACTTAAAAATGCGTTTACATTTGGAGAACACATGCGGCCAAGGAAAAAATTGAGTCTCTTTACTGGACTTTTATACGTTTTATCTTCCCAAAGAAAATTCTCCCACTTTTCACAATCGCCTTATTCATGTCATCAGTTTTCGGCAGCAACTATATTTGGGAGCAACTATATTTAGGGATGAAGCACACGAAGGTCAAAATTGGAAACAAAATATCTAATGAGCACCTTGAGAATTCATTGAGAATTGCTACTACATCCATCAAACCAGATATTGCTTCATTAGTTTATAAAAACAGTGTCAAATATTGCACTCGTTTTATGTTGCCCTCTTTTACGATAAAAAAAAAAATTACAAAAAACTACTTTTCCTCAAGTACAATATCTATATCAGCTATTGTTAACTTTTGATTTGTCCGACTTTTTCTGCTCATCGGTTATCCTTATTGTTAGTGTATGTTATATGTAGCTAAAGACAATTCCTCTTCTTCCAATGTGGCCCTGGAAAGCCAAAAGGTGGTATAGGGTCTCCCGTGAAGAGCTACAGAGTTCCCAGCTACACCCACCAGATGCATCTCTGTTGGATTTGTGTCTTATTATACTTTATAAAAAATAAATGCTGCATCCTCTTACCAACTCTGATGAAAAGTCTTATAACCAGTAACTCTACAGAGAAGGTCTTCCTCCTGGAGTCCCTGGAGATATAGATGACACCAGTGGATGAACCCTTTAAGGTACAAAAGGTAAAATTAATAATGACTACATTGCAACCAAAAATATAACTGAAAATCAAAAATAAAGAAAACTGTTTTATGCAAAATGAAAAGTGTACTTAAAGCTTTAGATGCTCACTGTTTTACTGTTTTTATAAATGAAATGGCTTTCTAGAATAGTTTCTCAGATTGTAGTTGGCAGTACACAACACTATACAAAAGAGCAATGCAGGATTTTACCTTCATAGTTTGGCAAAATGAAGCATCAAAGTGCTCATTACCTGTATGGTTGTACAGTGGAAATGTACATATAATTATACCTGCAAGGGCTGGCAAGCTGCATCAATGATGATGATGTCTGTTTGCTCATCCAGGGAAGTTGGGTGGCAATTGCAACAAAGTTATTTGCCTCAGGAATCTGGGAACGCATACTTTTTTTTTTGGTATTTTACAAAGATTGATATCACCTTTTCTGTACAGGTAAGTTTTAAGATTGTAAGCTCGAAAGAGTAGGGCCCTCTAACCCCTCGTGTGCTGTTTGTTGTTGCTGTACTGTTTCATGTATTGTCCCCCCCCCTATTGCACAGCACTGAGCAAACCCTTTGGCGCTATATAAACTAGATGTAATTATAATAATAATACTCTGTGTATACAGCGAGTAAAATAAGTATTGAACACGTCACCATTTTTCTCATTAAATATATTTCTAAAGGTGCTATTGACATGAAATGTTCAGCGCATGTCCGTAACAACCCATGCAATCCATACATAAAAAAAAACAAAACAAATAAGTTCAGAAATTAAGTTATGTGTAATAAAATGGAATGACACAGGGAAAAAAGTATTGAACATGCTGAAATGTATTTAATACTTTTATATATAACCAAAACACCTGCACTCTATTAACCCCCCTATTACACAGGAGCTGCTGTAATATACACAATATTGTGCAGTAATCAATATAAACCAAAATATACAGCGCTTACATAAAAAGTGCAAAATAAAGTGCAAAACAACAAGTGATTCCTATAAATATAGTGCAAACCAACAAATGTCCACATGTGATTCCTATTATTATAGCATAATGTTTATGAGAAACTTCATATATATTCTACAAATTAGTCCGTCATCCACAAAGTGCAACTGTTCTTCCACAACGGAGTGAAATAATATAAAACTTCTGTAAAATAAAGTGATTTATGCAAAACCCACCACTGCCGGATTATTGTGTCTTCTCCACCAGCGTGTACCACCACCATCACAGAAAACTCACCGTTTCGTCGTACTGACGTCAGGAGGCATCAGTACAACTAAACGTACGTCAAGGTGGGGCTACAGGAAGTTACGATTTGGTGACTCGGAAGTGGTGAGATATGCATGTAGTGTGGAGCGTTCTGAGCGTTGTGAGGCAGAGAGAGCTGGGCAATACATTGAATGTTTGAACTCAAGTGCAGGGCTTAATGCACTAAGAAATGTGAGCAGATTTACCGATGGTTTTATATATGTTGATGTAAAATGTTACTAAAGGGTATTTTACACTGTTGGGGTCTCCTCCCCTTTTAACACATGATAACGTTGGCAAGCTTATAATGAGGAGCATGGTGGATTGACTTACTGGAGTGGGGGAATCCATACATACAAAAAAGCGCATATAGACCAACTCTTAAATGAGAAGGGCATGGCTGTCTGGTGACCTCTCTGTGATGGTGGTGGTACATGCCGGTGGAGTGGAACACAAGAATCCAGATGTGGTGGATTTTGCATGAAGCACTTTATTTTACAGAAGTTTTATGTTATTTCACTCAGTTGTGGAAGACCTGTTGTACTTTATGGATGATGGACTAATTTGTAGAATATATATGACGTTTCTCATAAACGTTATTGTGTCACATGTGGACACTTGTTGTTTTGCACTTTATTTATTTTGCATTTTTTATGTAAGCGCTGTATAACTTGGTTTAAATTATTAAATACTTTATACAAAATCATTTGTTGGTAATGACAGCTTTGAGATGCCTCTTGTATGTCGCATGCATTGCTCAGGTGTGATTTTTGCCTATTCTTTCACACAAACCATCTTCAAATCTAGAAGGTTCCGTGGACCTCTTCTATGAACTCTGATCTTTAGTTCTTTCCATAGATTTTCTATTGGATTCAAGTCAGGGGATTGGCTGGGCCATTCTAGCAGCTTTATTTTCTTTCTATGAAACCAATTGAAAGTTTCCTTGGCTTTGTGTTTGGGATCATTGTCTTGCAGAAATGTCCACCCTCGTTTCATCTTCATCATCCTGG